TACATCATATCTAGCCAAAAATTTCATTTTCTAATGCCCAGATAAAACCAGATCAATGTACCTGCCCATTACAATTATTTTTAAGTAAATATTTTATTTTATAATGGTTTTAATTACTAAAAATTTGAGAAGTTAGTAAAAAAGGTTTCTATAACTTCCCCCACCCAATTTCTCTTGACATTTGTTACAGTTAATGAGCCAATATTGATACAGGTGAAGATCATATCTTAGTTTTTATCTTATGTCCTTTTTTCTGTTCTATAATCCCATCTACAGATTACATGTAGTTGTCACGCTTCCTTGGCTGTAAAAGTGTTTCAGACTTTCCTTGTTTGATGACCTTAACAGTTTTGAGGAGTACTGGTTAGATGTTTGATAGAACATCCTACAATTAGCATTTGTCTGCTATTTTTCTCATACCATAACAGGTATTTGGGTTTTGGAAAAGAAGATATTTATGTAGTTATTCCACTAGTAAAAACTGCTGGATATTTATTTGTTACTCTTGATAATAATCCAATACCACTTTATTTTATTGTTCTAACTGTTCCAGCTTTGGCAGCTGGAAGCTTTTTTGGTTGGCTCCTCTATTCTTTTGACATATTTCCAGCATTGTGGAGTTGTTTTCCATTTTCCTGAGGGGGAATTTTGAGTACTTCTGTACTTGTGGGCACTAGAAATTATTCCAGACTCATCTCGCATTCTTCGTATGTCAGTATTACAATCAGCCACTTCTCCAAGAAGCCCTGGTTTCTGTTATCAGACAATTGTATTAGAAATCACCATCTGGGTGTCGGGCGTGCACCTCACTAGTGATGAGTCATCATTTCCAGGGTCTGTCCCTTGAAGGAACATGAAACTATGTGTGTGGTGCTCAGTTAGGCAGCTCATGTACTAAAATTGGAAAGATACAGAGATTGGCACGGCCCCTAGACAAGGATGACATACAAATTAAGGAAGCATTCCATATTAAAAAATAAAATAAATATATGTGTGAATACTGAAGAATTAACATTTTAGTATTAAGTTTTCCAGCCCACAAACTTGGAATATCTTTGTTTTTACAGTATTTGAATTTTCTTTGATTCATCAATGTTTCACAGTTATTGCATGCACATTCATTCTGTATATAGTTTCTTCCTTATACAACTAAATAAATGTTTTCATGCTATTGTTACCATATTTTGCCATGTATAATGTGCACTTTTTGCCCAAATTTTTGAAGGAAAAATAAGGATGTGCATTATGCATGGGTACTACGATTGTTATAGTGCATAAAATTTCTTGTACTTTGTATCTGTTCTTGTGTTTTATCATAATTTGTTACATAAAACTTCTTATCCCATACAGGTTAAAAATAAATGCTAAAATTCCTTTATAATATAAAAAACAAGTATAAAGAACTTAAATTTTTAATTCAAAAATTAAAACAGAATATTTTATTCTTGATAGTTTGGGCCAGAAACATGGGTATACATTATACACATGAGCTCATTATATGTGGCAAAATAAGGGACATAGATTTTTTTTTTTTAAAAATCTCATAATAAAAAAAAAAAAATCTCAAATTCCAATTTTTCATTGCTGGTCTATAGGGAAACAATTGACTTTTGTGGCTCAGCACCTATAGCTCAACCGGCTAAGGCACCAGCCATGTACACCCAAGGTGGCGGGTTAAAATCCCCAGCCCGGACCCGCCAAACAACAATGACGGCCGCAACCAAAAAATAGCCGGGCGTTGTGGCGGGCACCTGTGGTCCCAGCTACTTGGGAGGCGGAGGCAGGAGACTCGCTTGAGCCCAGGAGTTGGAGGTTGCTGTGAGCTGTAATGCCACGGCACTCTACCCAGGGGGACAGCTTGAGGCTCTGTCTCAAAAAAAAAAAAAACAAAAAAACAATTGACTTTTGTATATTAATCTTGAGTCTTGGAGGAGGGAGGAGGAAGGCTATTTGGGGAGACCTCACCTAATGTGTATGATGCAATGGTACATTTCAAAACTATTAAGAAAAGAGTATAATTGTGATGGATGTGTTAATCAGATCAAATGCAATGTATGCACTTCACATTGTATACCAAATCAGTACACTGAACCCCATAGATGCATCAATGTACACAGTTATAATTTTATAAAAATAAAATAATAAGAGATTCATCATAAAAAAAAACAATCATGAGCCTCCAAACTTAAGGGTTTTACCTCCAAGGATCCTACCAGGTTCTCGTGATAAAGAACCAAAAAAATAATCACCTTGCGTCTTGGCAGGTAGAGGAGGAAAGTAATCACTTTGAAATACTCTATAAAAAAAGGCCTACTTTGCAGTGAAAAAGCCATTACTAGATCTCATCTCACATAGGAAGAAGAGCAGTACCCAACTCCAGCCCACTCCAGCCTTTCTCTTTCATCAGAGTTGGGAAGAAAATGAATCTAAGAACCACTTGTAGAAGTCACTAGGGATGTAGGCCCACTAAAAAATACAAGTTAATCATAGATTACGGAACACTTCCCTCCCCAATTCCTTTCCATGACATCAACAGTACAACAGCAGAAAGAGCCACAACACTCAGGCTCTCAGAGAGATCTTAAGGAAATCCTGAGCCACAAGAGAAAAACGAAAACACTAGTGGAATTGAAAGTCTTTGACACGTACAGCTACGATAAGCATCATTGAACAAGGTCCTGGTCAAATTAAGGCAAACCCCGCACTAATGTTCTATGACTATTACCTCTGTCCCTGTCCCTCAATGTATCATGTCCAGATTTCAATGAAAAGTTACAAGGCATACTAAAAGGCAGCGGGAAAAGACCCAGTTTGAATCCAGTCCAAGAGTGAAAAAGATATTGACTCTCAATAAAAAGAATGAGGGAATTCATACTCCATAAACCTGTTCTGAAAGGAATGTAAAGAAAAGTTCTTCAGAGTGAAAAAAGAATATGTAGAAACTCAGATCTAGAGGTTTTTGAAAAAGAAAAGCATCAAAGAATGAATAATGATAACTAATGGTAAAACTAAACCTTTTCTTTTATTCTTAGTTTTTCTAATAGATGATTATTTGTTAAAGTAACAATGGTAATTGTTCTTCTCCCATACTTATTTACTAGTTCCATGAGATTTTTTTTGGAGATTGTCAGATTTTTCTACAGCAATAATCATGTCATCTACAAATGAAGATGGTTTATCTCTTCCTTTCCAATTTACATGCCTTCCATTTCTTTTTCTAGTCTTACTGCTACAGCTAGAACTTCCAGTGAGATGTTGAGTAGGGGTGGGGAGAGAAGACATCCTTGCCTTGTTCCCCTTCTAAAGGGGAAAGCATGATCTCTGACCAGTAAGTACGACTTATATGTCAATCTTTTGTAGATGTCTTTCATAAAGTTGAGAAATTTTTCCTCATTTCTTAGTTTGCTGAGAGTTTTCATCAGGAATTGGATTTTGTAAAACATTTTTGCTATTTCAATTATTGTGATGTTTTACTCTGATTAGTTTTCCAATGTTGAACCAGCCTGGCACATCTGAAATACATTTGGTTATGATACACAATTATAATATGCGACTTTTTATACATAGTACGATTTGATTGATTAATATTTTGTTGGAGATTTTGTGTCTATGTCCATGAGAGACACTGGTTTATAATATAGTTTACATTCATTTTAAAATAAACTTCTACGTTTCTTTCAAGTGCATTCTATGTTATTCAATTAATTATACAAAGCTTAAGACCATTATCATCAGAGAATCCAATGGGAAATGGTATAGAATGGAAGGCAGGGCAGTCTGATTAGTATTACTCAGGAAATAATTAAGCCACGTATTTATTCTCTAAATTACCATTAAGATTTAAAAAAACCTGAAAGAATCTCCCTTAGATTGAAATTTGTTATTTTTTTCAGTTTAGCACTCTAAACAATGAAAACTAAAGTTAATTGATCCTAAAATATATGTTTTAAGCCCCTTCACTTTTGAGCACTTTTTGCAAGGGGACAGTGATATCTCCAACTAAACATCTTAAACGGTACATTCCCTTTGAGACGGTACCTGGCACACCTGGGTTGGGGAAAAAAGTATAAAAACTAAGGAGAATCTTCCAACTGAAGTCTGGAGAGACAATTTTGGTACCAAATCTTAGTTGCACAGGTATATGTATTTTATACTTTTTTTTCAAGCATAAGTGCATTCTAAACCTATTACAACAAATGTTTAAAAGTTTTGCATGAAATTCGTTACATGTGCTAAAATTTCATATATTTTCTCTAGGGTCCTAAACTGATGAGCCCATCATTAATTTTCCTAGCAAATAATACTGGAGAAGTGATTGCTACTCAAGTGGATTTTATCACATTTAGGAAAATCAGATTTTAACAAGGAAGAAATGTGGTAAAATTAAGTGCATTCGTTTGAAAATTATTTATTTCCCGGCAACTCTCATTATGGTCACAGTTAACAGTAAGGGAAAATCACGTATTTTATTATTGATGTTCCCATCACGGGGACTAAGAATGGACCCGGAAGGAAATGTATGGGGGACAGACAGCTAGTAGTAACTAATCTGCGTATTTTCCCACCCAGAGAAGAAAAGAATGTAAACATGGATCAATTTGATCCATGGTCAATTTGATTCTTGGCCCTCCTTTTGGTTCCCTTCAGTACAATTTAGCCAAAAACATCACCCGACACATGCTGCATGCTCAGTAGGGTAAGATTTTGAGTTGTCTTTATCTTCATGGTAGTGCCAGATCCAAAAGACTGTAAGAATTGTCGAAACAAACGCAGCAACACCGTCGCCTGATAACCTCGTTCTTATGTGTTTACAACTTATTCATCCTCTCGCATCTCCAAACGATAATTGTTCTAATTGTTGGGGAGGCACGCAAAAGGTTATTTATATCTCTGTCCATCTAGAAAGATACCAAATAAAGTTCAGTCACACCACAATTATGCGTTTAAGGGAGGATAAATCCTAAACAGGTACATCATATCAATCTCCTTTTATAAAACACTTACTTGGAAATAGTTGAAACTCTTGTTATCTTCGCAGCTAATGGGACAGAAGCGTGTAGTTGGGAGAAACTGTCAGTGCCAGACCTAAAGGAACTTTCCATACCAAAAATAGCTAAGAAGTTCAAAATCTCACTTGTCCTGCTCAACACTTTATAATTCTTGAAGTTCTCAAAGGTTATGACATCTTGTGCTCAGAGGAAAACTTTAATAGTTTACAAACCATGAAATTTTCTTGTCAGCGCTCTGCATGAATTTTATGACTCCTTCACATTTCCCAGGCTGTTTTATTAGACGGTATTTTTAAATATAAGATGGAATGCTGAAATGTTAAGTACGCTAGGCATTTGGTTTCAAGTCAATATTTGGTGACAACGGTGTTTCAGAGCCATGAAAGCTGCCTGCAATTAACGACACAGACGCATAAATATTTAAAAGAGTAGTATTCCTCCCCAGCTCTTCCAAGAATGTCAATACATTGTTTCTTTCGTTGCCTTCTATAAAAATTCCCTTCTACCTTTTTCTTTAGCCTCATGGTTTCCTTTTGTGTTCACACAGAAAGATGGAACGGCGAGAGTAGAATCAACATCAAGTCTCACAGGTCTTTGGTAACCCTGGAGAACAGTCCACTATTAAAAAGGAACGGCTCAGCCTGACATTTCAGTTACGTTCACTCTGCAGTGATTCTGCTCCATCTGTTGGCTGCCCCACCTCCTGTATTCCCCTCTGGCTTCACTGTAGCATTTCCTCTTGAGTGCTCACCTTCTCTCCTCTGGCTTCCCGTTTTTTGATTGTATTGTTTGTTTTTCTCTCTTGCTTTCCTGGGATTCTGCCCAGTCACACCTTGGCTGCATATGCATGCAACATGGTAAACCAGCTCTGACAAAACCTGTGAATGCTTCATCCTGGCCCCTGTTTAACACACATCAAGTGGGGAGCTAGAGAATGGAACTTCCTTTCTTGTTGGTATGAAGAA